TCAGCACTTGCCTCTGATCTACTATTCTATTCCCCTGGGAGTCTTCAATGCCAATATTTTGAATCCCATGATTCTCTTTCCATCCTAGTTCTTTTGTCTTCATGTACATCAAATCATAACATCCTGTTCTTTGAAATTGTATAATCTCATTACATATCTTCCCAAGATATTCCTTTTTCAACCTGTCTGTGGCTCTTTTCAATTCATTCCTCAGTCTCCTGTATTTCCTCATGTCTTCTTCATTGTTGACATTCTTCCATTTCCTTCGCTCCTCCATTTTACTCATCATCTCCTGTGTAACCCATGGTTTTCTTGCTATCTTCTCAACTTTACCAATCAAATCACTGATAGTATCTAACATGCATTCTTTTATATTGTTCCACTGCACTTCAGCATTTCCGCTTTCACCTTCAATTGCACCGAGTTTCTCTTCTAGGGTCTCCCGCACGCTTTGTCTTTGAGCATATAACTTCTCCAAATCCTATCTAGGTCTGCGCTTTTGGANTTTGAAATCTTATAATTTTCTTCAACCTGGTTTGGAACTTAGCAACCAATGATTAAATATATTAGGGAAAAAAAAATACAAAACTGATGCAGTAAACACTGTATTGTAAATATTGCAGTAAATATATTCACCTTTTAGTCTGGTATGAAATTCTCCTCACATGCTGATTTGCTGTGATCCAAAACAAGACCTCTCTTGATCATGTCCACAATTAACTCTTCATAACTGTTCTTGTTTATGCTGTAAATACATTAAATAAATATTAAATATTTATCCTACAAAAATCTGGAGAAAATTCATTACCTAACTTTCTCACTAGAATTTTAATTCTACAGCAAACTGATATAACTTCTCTAAAGTAGAATATCTTTGATTGTGCATCATTATCATGCTCAACATGATTTACAGACACAAATACATTTTTGCATTTTTTAAAATTTGGTATTAAATTGTGTAACCTATGTAGGATTATCAATAGGAACACTATACTGCAGACCTTACTGTTCACACAGGACATTTCTTCTGTATGCTTATGTTTGCTGCACCCCAAAAAGATATTTTACAGAGAATCTAGTACTATACAAGGTGAAAATAAAGACTGGTACAAAGGATAACCAACAATGTTATAATGATATCATACCAATACATTTGAAACTTGAAGTCATATTGTCCTATATGATAATTATAGTTAAAATACCCCTGTTACATGTATTTATTTATGCAAATAGAGATATACATGTATGTTCTGGCTGAGAAGGTAGTTTCAACTGCATTTCAAGGAATGTTGGGATTATGTGACTGTACCAAACTTAACAGAACATCATTAATTGGTTAATTACTTCAGATACATACATATGTACGACACTCATGCAGTTCATTATGAAACCCTTGGGTTTTTAGATCAGGATATTTTTTCAATAAATGCCCTGTTTTTTAACTTTTAAGGGAGGCTTTGTTTTTCATTTGAACTGTTTAGTTCATACAAACAAAAGTACCCATTCATGGTCCAAGACATGGTAACTTTTCTTGTCAATGTCACAATATATGGCAGCCAAAATTATGCAGAAGGGATAACAGTCCAATAACACAAACATATGTGAACACGCTTCACATCTTAATAAAGCATACTGATCAGATTAAAACCTGAGAATGAGGATTCCAATTTTATCCAAAACTTCATTCCTCCTTGCATGTTGCTTTAATATTTGTAGCCATTCAACCTACTGGCACAAACGCAGAGTAAATTTCTTAATACCTTTGGGTGTTATGTATTAGATTTGTTATAAGAAACAGACAAGAAAGTTACAATTTTATCTGTTACAGTAATGAACTGCATGGGACATGCTAAGAAACAATTCAGATTTAATAAGAACTGACTACAGTAAACATGTCATTCACCTAAATTTCAATGTGCTACATGAAAAGTTTTGGGTCACTGACAATCTTACACCGGGGTCTCACTGAACAATCAGACAAACAGAATTTCATGTAACTGTTATTTGGACTAAATTTATAAAGTCTTAACAGTGTTCTGGTTAAGATAAACTGAGGAATTCCTTTACACAAGAATGTCTGTATCTTTTGCTTCATATTAACTAAAATGCTTTCTTACACAATGACAAAAATTATGAATATTCATTTGTTTCCATAAATAAAAGAGGAATGTCAACTAACTTTGAAAGAATGTTTCGTGAAGTAGACGTCTTGGAAGTAGGAATTCATGTTCAGACCTGAAGCACTGAAATGGTATGTCCGAGACATGTCTGGAATCACACACTGTCTGCCTTTCCAATCTTCAGGTAGCCGCATCCACATATTCCAGTCTTACATTTGGACATGTAACACAACATATAATTCTTACACTGGCATTATGATCAAGAAAGTTATTTGATCCCAAAAATGCAATCATTAATTTAACTATGATATATTTATTATGAGTAACCAGTTGTTTGAGCGTGTCATATCTGTCAAGCTCCAGACATTTCAGATGTCAGAAATATTAATGTTACAGTAATAACTTTATGGTACATTTCCGTACAACATATGTGCTATTATGTTCTGAAGTTATGTAATTTAGAAATAAATTATCTGTTAACATAACGCAACATACACAGGTCTATAAGGGACCAACTGAGGTGAAAATGTTCTGATCAACTGTAGACATGATGGGATGAATTAAATAAGCTAATATTTTAGTCAAGGATGACAAGATTCTGATGCATTTGTATTTTTTAATTTAAATATCTTCAAAACAATAAGACTTAGTGAAAATGTAGGCCTGTTTAGTACAAATTATAAATTCAAACTAAATTTATATGAATTACACTGCATAATGAGGAGCTTCATAACTTGTACTCTTCACCAAGTATAATTAGAATGATCAAGTCAAGGAGGATGCGGTCAGCAGGGCATGTAGCATGAATGGCAGAAACAAGGAATGTATATAGGATATTGGTGGTAAAGCCAGAAGGAAAGAGACCACTTGGAAGACCAAGACGTAAGTGGATGGGCAATATTAAAATGGTTCTAATAGAGATAGGATGGGATTGTATGGACTGGATTGGTCTGGCTCAGGATAGGGACCAGTGGAGGGCTCTTGTGAACACGGTAATGAACCTTAGCATTGCATAAAATATAGGGAAATTCTTGAGTAGCTGCAGAATTGGCGGCTACTCAAGAATTGCTCAGCTTCATGGAGTTAGTTTAACGAAGCAATACTGGAGATCCTCAGAAATCGACCTTCATTTTTCTCACAACAGTTACAGCGTACCTTTATGGCAAATATGACGACTGTGCCATCAGAAACCATGTTCAGAATGAGTGCCATGGCTTCGTCTTCGTGTGGTGAGTATGTATCAAACTTATGCTGGGCCATCACACTACCACTTGCCTGGTTCAGTACAATCACATGGACCCCTCACCCCTTGTGGTCTTCTCCAGCCTCCAGGATCTAGCAAGCTGCACTAACATTAAATTTCTCTCACTTCACCTCTCTAGTCTTATTGAGGTAATTTCATTACAAGAAAATTACTAAAAAATGGATTAATTATTATAAAAAAAAAGGTAAAGTTGTCCCTGTGCTTAACTAATTAAGCACTATACATTTGAGGGGGAATGGATGTAGAGACTCACATTTTCTTGACCTCCACAGCAGTTGGAAGAAAGTGGTCAGCTTCATGCTTCAGTTGCTTTAGCCCCGGAGAAAGAATCCCCAGTACCCATTGGATAGGAGGCTGGGTAGGCACCAAACTCGGTCTGGACGACACGGAGAAGTGAAAATTCTTGCCCAAACAGAGACTTGAACTCCGACTCCTTGAATGTCCAGCCTGTAGCCAGTTGCTATACTGACTGCACTATCCATATCTAAAGAAATGTAAAACGGGTATCTAAAACCTAATTTATAGGGAAGGGTATTTCCTTCAATTCTCCTCTTCTTATATATCATATTTATCACAATTAGCTTATACGGTTACACAAAACACATTGAAGTGAATTTGGTATACATTAGCTGCAGAGTTAAATGAGCATTCCACTATACCTGGCAAAAAAGCAATGTTATCCATGTAACAGTCCATGGAGGCCCATTGTGTTGTGAGACGTCCAGGCTCACACAGTTTCTAGGAATAGTAGTAGTGTGTGTATGTGTAAGGGCTGGTCCATAAAATCCGACCCTTGCACAGTGACCTTCAATGATCTGGCTCACATTTTCTAGACAATCGGCTCGCAGATGGTGATGAGGTTGTCAATTTTACATGTCGGCTGCCTCTTACCCCCAGGAAGATTCGTGGTATTCATTTCTGTTAGAGGCTGAGTCGACTCCAGGGCCATACTGCGGCTTGCAGGATTAGATCAACTCAGAAATCCAATGACCTCATTGGGAATTAAACCTGCGACCTTCCGGCTTGTAGCATAGTGCCTCAAACGACTATGCTACCATGTGCCCACAGTACATTTATTTGCTACCTGCTTCATGCTGGTTCCTTCATTTTCTTACACTTATACTCTGAAGATGGAGGTGACATGTTCCTCCGAAGCATCGGTTGGCTTTCAGTGTACTGCACAACATTATATTTCAGAATGTTTACATCTTCGTGATAGAAAAATTTCCGGATTCTGCATAAAATTTACAACGAAATTGTCCAATGTTTACAGTCTCATCAATGTTGTTCTATATTGTAGCATGTAGAGATGTTACCATGCATTGGCCAAGAGATAAGTAAAGTTACCAGAGCTGTTTCTAGGCAACGCTTCGTTAGAAACTTTCCCACAACAACGGATACATATGCAATAATAGAAATACTGTTGGAAACAGTATTTTCAACCTGGTCCATGCAAAGCGGTTATAAGGAAGACAAATGGGGCAACCAAGTCAGTTCTGTATGGAGGTTTGTGAAGAAAGTCAGTTGGGAGGGAGCCAACATTCAGAGAGGACTTGGGCACAGATGATTGGATTTATTGCACTTATACACTGAACTTGTAACTACAAGTATGTATAATATTACTTACTTACTCATGGAGCTGAGCCTTTCTGGAGGAGCCACCAATTCTGCAGCTACTCAAGAATTTCCCAGCATTTTATGGAACCCGAAGGTTCATTACCATGTTCACAAGATCCCTCCACTGGTCTCTATCCTAAGCCAGATCTATCCAATCCATACCATCCCATCCTATCTCTCTAAGATCCATTCTAATATTGTCCACCCACCTACGCCTTGGTCTTCCCTGTCTTCTCTTTCCTTCTGGCTTTCCCACCAATATCCTATACGCATTCGCCTCTCCCATTCATGGTACATGACCTGTCCACATCATCCTCCTTGACTTGATAATTCTAATTATACTTGGAGAAGAGTACAAGTTATAAGTAAAATATTACTGCTGATTTCCACACTAAGTGTTCTGTCTGCCTTCGCCAGTTCTTACATGGTAACAGCTATTCCTCTGTAATATTTTCACTAGACATACAGGTGCACAGGTAGACCGCACTAGTGATACATGCAACACGCAAAACTATGACAGCCGCAATAGAATACGACAGCATTCTCAAATGTTGACGTGCATGGAAGCACAGTGAACAAGCATACAGTGAAGCGGTCTCCCCAAAAGAAGGGAAATTGCCTGATGAAGGCCCATGTGGCCGAAACATGTCAAAAACCAGAACAAATATATGACTTAAGACATTTTAGAGAATTGGATAATCACTCTTAATGCACAGAATGCGCTTTTAATGCCCTTTTGACATGTAATGATTTTAACAACATCAAAAAGTGTCGAAATACATTTTTAGTGTGAAACTTATTCTGTCTTTTGAATTGTTGCATTATTGACGGATACTTTGATAATACGGATGATGCCTCAATGCAACGGAATGCTAAAATATAATATATCTTGTTTCTCTTATTGTTCCGTCATTACGGTTTGATGAATTCTGGTGGTGTACTCTGTGTTCTTGTTGATGTTGTGGAATTTGTTCTCTGTGTTATCTGAACCTGTGTGCAGTTTGTGGGGGGGGGTATTTTTTTTTATAAAAGGTTATCAACTCCATCCAGCGTGAGTGATATTTTTTCTCCTTTTTAATCTTTCATCCTTGACTTGTTTCGGTCTGAGAGACCATCTTCAGAACGACATATCAGTACTAGCTGAAACCACTATTATTATTATTATTATTTATTTCATCCATAGCTGTAGAGAATTACAACTGGACATGTCAAATACTAACAAAACTATTACAATGTGACTGGTAAATATCGATACATTCATACAGTATCATTAGAATTAGTCACCTGCGTTACGAGTTACGAGTCAGTCGTATGCCGGTGGAGTCCAGAATAATTTTTAGTTCCGGGGTTACAGATTAAAGACGAAACAGCTGGAAGATTTCATAGTGATCTGAAGTGCTAATTTGTGAGAGATCCGTTGCTAGAAGACGACTAGTGGAAACTGAGAACCCTAGTGCGTGAACCTATGCAACGGTGAACTGGGAGTAAATTAGCGATAGGGCTGTATTAATTGTAACTCAGAGAACTTGTAACCGAATTGCTAATAAATCTAATGATCCGATCTACAACCCATTACTACCCTACACGTGACATTATTAAGGAATACCAAACACATTGTGCTTACGTATTATACTCATTTTCACTTAATTGCAAAATCTTATTTCCATTCATATTCCAAACTTATTAATGCCACTATAAGTACCAGAAAACTTTACACTTTTCACGTTTCTTAAATTAAAAGCTGTTAAAATCTCCTACCTTTAACAACACGAACAACTCATAAGATCGCTGCCAATAAATACCGAATACAGTCTTCCAATTGATTTGAAGCGTAGATCCTGCAATGGTTTAACGAATTTACTGCCATCTATACGTTGAGCGAAACCTCCAATACTATCATTTACGGCGTCGGTAGCTTATATATATATATGTTTTTGTGTGTATATGTGTGTGTGTGTGTGTGTGTTTTCGGTAGGATGGTGTGGAACGGTGTGGAATATGAGCAGTAATTTATGATTGTGGTAGAGGAAATTCAATTTATTTCGTGTGATTAGGGTTACGTTACACTCATAAGAGTTGAAATAGTTGGCGTCAAGTTCTAATTACTGTTTGACGAAAATGTTCTAATTTTTACAAGATATCCATAATTTTTTCTGCATGTGTATTATATATAGTGTGTAACGTGGGTTATTTTTTAGGCTCACGTCTGAAACCAATTTCAAACCGTTTAACTACTAGAAACGTCCGTGATGTCCAACTCTAACCCACATGTTGATCGAGATTTAGATCTTTCAAATGCTGGCAGGGGCGTCTGGCTTGTTAAGGTATGTGTCCTTCATATCTTGAACATCGTTCAGAAATAACATGCTTACATTTCATGAAGCAAGTTGGCCTTCATTCTGGAGTGCCTGATTCGAATCTTAGCCATGACACTAGCTATGCTGACCGAGGTGTCTATGGTTTTTCCCCAATCCATCAGACATGACCTGCGATAGTACCTAAAATTAGGCCGCAGTCCCTATCAGGATTCGAACTCTAGCTGTCCAGCCCTAAGTCCATCACTATACTGACTGAGCTATTCAGACTTAAGTATGAAAACTTTATCTTAACTGTAACTTAGATTATGTTGTTCCTACTGACTTCAGATGGTAAACACTTCAGAAAAACCCAAGTATTACTTGCAGATAATTGTATGCAGTCTTAAATTTTTCTAGGTTCCAAAATACATTGCAAACAAATGGGAAAAAGCACCAGGTGATATCGAAGTTGGGAAACTGAAGATATCAAAGTAAGTGAAGCAGAAATGGTCAAATCATGATGTTTCTGTGATCTCATCTAACACATATCGGCCATGCAGAATCTATGTTACTGTCAAACATAACACAGCACAATAACAGTGATAGGCTTGTTAGCTACTTTAATGTTTTAATCAGAGTATAACTTGATCATTTCACTGTACCCTACTAGCATTCATTTAGCTATGGGAGTGACGTTATTAAGACATTATGATAACTGAAGGTCAGTATATTCTGGGATGGGACATCATATAATCCATATAGTCTGGTAGATCATCACCTCCATTTCAGAGGAACATGCTGCCTCCATCTTCACGGTAGGAGAGTCCCGATGAGGTCATTGGATTTTTTTTAGTTCACCTAATCCTTCCAGCTGCACTATGTCCCTGGGGTTGACTCAGCGTCTAACAGAAATGAGTACCAGGAATTAATTAAATAATTTTCCTGGGGAGTAAAGTGTGGCCAGCGTGTAAGGCTGACAGCCATACCGCCATCTTTGAGCTGATTGTCTAGAAAATGTGGGACCCTCAACATCTCACAACCCTATGGGCCTTCACGGCCTGTTGTAGGGATAACTTTACTTTTTTACTTTACTTTACCTTGAAGATGGAGACATACATATGGATTAGGTAGATCCATACCAGGTATGAAGCTCACACAATAGTCACTGGTAATATTATGGCCACCTGAGATTTGATGCTATGTAGCATGGTATAATAGTACCAACATTGTAGAAGAACTTGTTACCTTCATCTTCTGGGCCAAGTATCACTGAAGGTTGACAGACGGTACAATATGTGTGCTCAAGGTTCATTACAAAGAATGCTGCCTTCTGGGATGTGGCATTATGTAGATCTTGTGTGAACTGACGTTTCAGAGGAATGTATTGCCTCCATTTTTGGAGTGAGTGAGTAACCAGCCTGAGCAGGTGGTTGCAGACTGAACCACCAGTCGAAAACATCCAGCTATAGAAGAACAGGAAGAGAGGGAGAGTGGCCACATGGGAAATCAATAGATAGGAGAGGGGAAGGGTCTGTAGAGATGGGCAAACAGGCATCAGGTCAGAGCCAATATAGGATCATGCTGGGGGGGGGGGGGGGCCAGGGCTATTGAATGAGCACTGACCCAATAGCCTTGGGGCTAAGCTGCCAAGCGTGCATTGACCTGTGTAGCCTTGTAGATCTGGCTGATCCCTGAAGATGGAGATGATATGTTCCTCAGAAATGTCGGTTCACACAAGATCTACATGGCGCCACATCCCAGATGACAGCTTTCTTCATAGTCACCCCCTTGAAAACCTCACATCTTACAAGGCTCATTTCCTTTTGTCCAGAAGATGGAAGCAGCAGGTTCCTCCAAATCTCCAATAGCAATTCCAAAAATACACATTTGTCACATCCCAAAAAGACCATAAGTTAAGTCAGACTGTTTAGCAGATATGTGCAATGAAATGTGATTTTGTTAAACTACAAATGACAGAAGGGCACACAAGGCATTGTATTTATAAATGGCTTGATATTACATAAATGTATAAGTATTTCATAATATTTGAACCAGTTCACCATTTATGACCTAACAGAAATCCTGGGCAGAAGGTGCAAGTGTCACTCACGCTGTCAGAGTCTGTGCTGTGCCTGAAGGAACCTGGGGAGGAGACCATTCCTCGTGATCACCGTCTTGATGTTTCTGCAGTTACCCGCCAAACACTTGGCATCTTCTCTCATATCACACGTATGGTAACCATTTCGTTAGGTTTCTGTGGGTTTTGGTTAATGGGGTACATGATAGCATAGTTGGTAGAGACACTGTTCCACAAGCCAGAATGTCACAGGTTCAATTTCAAGTGAGGTCATTGAATTTTTCATTTGACCTAATCCTGCAATCTGCACTATGGCCCTGGGGTCGACTCAGCCTCTAACAGAAATGAGTACCAGGAATCTTCCTGGGAGTAAAGGGCGGGTGGCTGACAACCTCACCACCATCTCTGAGCCGATTGCCTAGAAAATGTGGAAGCCTCAACATCTCACAACCCTGTGAGCCTCCATGGTCTGTTGCAGGGATAGCTTTACCACTAAGGGGCCCATACACATACAAGTATAGAGTATTTTGATGTTAAAGCAAGTGATACATATAGTAACGACTATGCTTTTCGGGGTTAAGTCATAAAGGTAGATATGTCCCTGTGCTTAACTAATTAAACACTACACCATGAAGACATATGGGGGAGTGGATGTATAGATCCACGTGTTTGTGACCTTGACACTAATTGTAGTTGAGTGTTCAGCTTCACGCCCTGGCCGCTTTACCCCTGGGGAAAGAGCCCCCAATACCCACTGCATAGGAGACTGTGTGGGCACCAGAAATGATCTGGATGACACAGAGAGGAAAAAAATCTTGCCCTACCAGGACTCAAACTCTGACCCCTTGGACATCCATTCTGTTGACAATTGCTATGTTAACTGCAGTATCCTGTCTCCCAAAGGGTTAAGTCACAGTTCCTCAAACTATGGGTCGCAGGGGGGGTGGTTGCCTCTGAAAGATAAGGAATTATTTAAAATATAATTGTATGTGTGTACAGTTTTGGCAAGTCAGTGAGATGTAATATGAGTACTTTCAGAAAATGTATGTGGAGCCAGCTAACAATTTTAGTGAATTCCTTCATGACTGTACAGGAACATTTCATGGCTTTTTGTAGCTCTAAAGCTATGTAGATCCTTACTGTCAGCCTACAGTCTGATAGACCCACAAAAATGTGAAGAACTTAATTTTTCATGAACCCTGGGGAGAAGACATTTAGATAATCCCTGAATGAGTGTCTGAAGGCTTCCAGAGCCATCATACAGTAAAATGTGGTCATGGGTCCCATGGGACTAGGAGCAACAAATCAGTGCTGGCAAGGACCAGCAGCAATTTAGCAGTCAGTCACACCCCCTGGGTTAAGTTTGTGTTTCTGATACTATTTACACAGTATCTTTCAAGAATGTTAATGGATACCAGTGTTAGCAACAGAATTTCAGTCTCCAAGTTCCTAATATTTATAGTTCAGGTTCTTCCTTCATCATCTGCAATTACTAAAAAAAAAGGTAAAGTTGTCCCTGTGCTTAACTAAGCACTGTGCTGTAAAGATGTATGGGGGAGTGGTTGTATAGATCCATGTACAATTACAAAAAACAGTGTTGAAATTATTCTTAAGCAAAAAATAATAAATATTTGCCCACATTTATTCTTCTCTTAATTTCTGATCCTTAATTTTATATTTGGCTCCAAAATTCATAAATGTTTATACATTTTCCTACAATTTTATTTCCTAATGTTGCTCACCAGATGGTATTACAGTGAGGAAGTCAAGGGGGATAATGTGAGTGGAGCTTGTATGCATGGAAGAGATGAGAAGTGCAGAACGTAAGTCAGAAAACATGAAAGGAAGAGACCACTGGGCACACCTTTGTAGACACACTGTAATGTACTGTGAGTGCTGCATGTTTCTGGTTGAAATGGAGATCTGACAACAGTGCTGCGTTCTTCAGCCTAAGTAAGGGTTTGCCGAATTGAACACAGGCACAGCCCCGCTATTCAAATGGATAGAATAATAATGATATGTATCTCGAAGGAATAAGATATGAAGATATGAATTCTCTGGCTTGGTAGGGTCCAGCAGCAGTTAAGCACAGGTTTCTTAATAGGCAGGGGAATTTCAGTAGCTGAGCAATTGTCACCTTCCCCAAACACACTATGTTTCTTAGAGATATATTTTAGTTTTGCGGAGTGTTTATCGATTTCACTGGATGCCTTACTTTCACTCTACATTGATCTTAAACCAAATTATTATGTCTTCACATTCATTTCCTCATGACAGCCTCAAACTCAGATTCAGTGGTGCCAGAAACTGAAAAACTCAGTATGGAAGGCAGAATCGTGCAGAAGTTGGAGTGCCGACCATATGGTAAGTTGTACATACATATTGTTCAGAGAGACTATGATAAATTACCGAAATCCTGAGATGTTGGACTCAAAAATAGTTAATTAATAATTTGATGTTGTCATCCTCTGGTTGCTACATGTGAAAAAGAATCTCCATATATTGTAATTTTCTTAGAAGGTGAATCTGTCAAATTGTTAATCGATACATATTTCCCTTCAAGGATCATACCTTAGAAAGTAATAAAAAATATATATTATTTTCATACATTAAACTCACAAAATGTAAATCTCTTAACAGCTTTTGTACTTATTAAATATCCCTCTTGTTGTAACATGTAAGGTGAGGTGATCAATTTATTAACCCTTTAACTGCCAAGCCCAGCCATAAAACTACCTGCTCGAAATACAAGTGTTGCTTTGGGGTGAATGCAGTTGTACAGAGAAACCCACAATATTTCCATAAAATGACCTTGAAAAAACAACAGTGGAATTTAATGTGTAAGTCTATTCTTTCCTGCAAACATCAGTATGTCATGCCTAGTACCATATAGTGACAGAAGCACTATATTAATTAACTATGAGCTTTGGCAGTTTTAATGCAAACATACCCAAGCTGATGTAATTGGTACTTAGCACACAGAGTTAAATACATTGAAATATCTAATTCTGTCATGATTTCTGCAGCTGATGAAATTGCATCACTCATTTTGACTTTAATGCCTTCATTAAAAATAAGGGAAACTGGATTAGACAACCCACCTCCAGAATTACTTCCACACTTTGTGAGCAGAGACATAGCTTTTGCCTTTCCTTACAGCGGACAGTTGCTACATGAAGTTGAAAGTGGAGAGTATTCGAAAAGCCTCTGTCCCAGTGAGACAAGTACAGCAGCTGGAGAGGGTAGTTCACAACTTCAAACCTGTGTCTGATCACAAACACAATGTAAGTTATATTTAATTGTGATCACGGTATTTAGGGATGTGATAGATGACAACATGATCTCAATATTCACTGCCTCAGCAACCTGCAGACTCATATTTCATTGTGTCTAACTGCTGCTAGAAGTAGCATTGTTATACAGATTCACCAACAGTGGTGTACTAAGGAAGTTCACTCAAGTGTAACACTTGTGACTTTATATTCGGGAGGTGGTAGGATGACGACGATCTTGATAGAGGCTTTTTCTTAGTTTTGTTCAATCCCTTCTGGCCAATACTGGGATAGTACCTTAAATTAGGCTATGAGTTCATCTATCCAGTCAGTGCTATGTGGTCACAGTTAGTGACTTAAAAAACTCTGTGGCTTTTTAGTCCACAAGTGAACTGTATCAAATGAGCGACTGCTGCTTGTCAGCGAAGTTAGTGCCAAATTTTGCAGATGGAGGGTGTCGCGTGGTCAGCACAACGGATTCCCATGGCCGTTAATCTCGGTTTTATAGACCAGAGTCGCTACTTTTCCATTCAAGTAGCTCCTCATTTATCTTCACGAGGCTGAGTGAGCCCCATTCTAGACCCACTACTTCTCAGAAAATCTGGTAGTGCTGGGAATCGAACCTGGGACTCTGGATCTGTAGCCAGGAACTCTGACTCCTAGACCACAGAGGTGCCCTTCTCAATTAGTAACACCACCATTAAATGAACTACAGATAAATATACAGTGGTGGTGTGGTGTTTTTTCTGTGAATGCTGATAATGTTTTAATATGACTAAGTGATTCATAGTATACTATATAATGGAGATAGTTACCAGATGACTCTTTGTATGTGTTAATTGTGGAGTACAGCATTAATGATTGACCTTCATATTCGTACTGGAAACGAATATGGGAGAAAGCAGGTTAAGTTAATATTGTCCAGAAGCGTATATGACAAATGATGATTCCTGTTGAATTCTCAGTGGCTGTTAGACCGTCATCTTTTAATAAAGTTCAGAGCCACGAAGATTTCCGAGTCATAGTTTTGAGACATGGAAATCCATTAGTGACATACAAACATCATGAAAGTAGGAAACACTGGCTTCTGGTGTGTTACATTTTATAGTCTGCTAAAAGTTTTCTTACGTCATGGAGGAATGCACTGCTCTGCTGAAGATGACAGTGGTACATTTGTCCAAAATGCCAATAAAATGTCCATAAATCGGCTTCACATCCTAATCTTCAGTGTAAGAACCCCAAAACTCAAAATTGACCTCACTAATTCAGACTGATTGGGAGTGAACCCTTGTCCAAATTTGTGAAGTCCAAATTATAGAAGTGATACTGGAAATATGTTCAAGGAAACTATAAAATGGACTTCATATGTCTTTTTAGACAATACAGCTTTGTTTTGAAACTTAATCATAAAATAAATTTGTCACAAAATGCAAACATTGACATCATCCTTAAAATAATTTTAGGTAGTGGCAATACAACTGTATTTTGAAACTTAGATTGTATATCATAAAATGAACTTACTTGTCATGAAGTGTAAATATGCAAGTTTTGACTTCAGGCATAAAAACATCTTAGGCAGCGGCGATGTGATCATCAAGGTCATGATGTGCAAAAGAAAAACAGTTGTCCAAATTATCGCAAATTCCCAGTTAGTGAGGTCTCACTATATTATGATTTCAAATGATAATTTCAAGCAAGCAGAAAGACTGTCATTACAGCAGGTACTGAGTTTGTGCCATGCCTTTAGGAATGCTGTAGAATGCAAGCCATTTTGTTTTGGTTGCCTCTCATAGATTGAGTATGAAGAGAAGAAGAAGGCAGAAGGTAAAAAGGCTCGTGATGACAAGGAAAGTGTTCTTGAGATGCTGTTTGCTGCCTTTGAGAAACACCAGTACTACAATATTAGAGACCTTGTGAAAATTACTCGTCAGCCAATTGTAAGTTTTTGAGAGGAAAAATAAAATTGTTTTTATCTGAATTCTTTTAATATGTATACTGTGCTTTAATTTTGTGTGTGTGCGCATGCACAAAAACTGCCATTTTAGTTACTGGAATCATGGACCATAATCCTTCATTATTCTTCCTTCTACATTCCCACTTTTATGTAGATCATCTACCAACCAAGCCTCTTCTTTTATGTTTACCTAAAGCTCCTTGTCTTCAGTTTTATACCATTTTATTCCTTCCTTCTGCATGACATCTTTTAATCTATTATTCCCATTTTGATTTGAGCTTTCATCATGGCTGTTGTCCTTTTATTTTGATATTCAAAACTTTAATTCCCATAGTACCTTATTTCATTATTAAAATATCCTTCAATGTGTGTATCTTTAAATTCTTTTCTTTCCTTTTATTATCCCTTCTATGTTTCTTAAAAAGTCTCAATTCATTTGCTGTTAGTCTACCAAAATCTGCCTTTATTCATGCCCATATTTTTGCTTCATGTGTCAAAATGAGCACACAGTAATTATTACCATAATTAGTCATGAAAATATTCCATTCAAATTATATACATTATTTTCATACTGAACCATGTTTAAATAACAATATGCATATAGGGGATTAGTAAAGAGTGTATTTCATTGTTTATGTGTGGGGTTTGTGTATTATCTAGCTGTATGTAGTCCACTATGCATGATACAGACAGCAGTGACAAGGCAGGATGGTAGCATAAGGCTGGATAATATTTCACTAACAGGTTCTTAATATTGAAGTTATTTCTGTTAAAGAGATTTCCTCAGATTTGCCTAATTTTATGCTAACGTACGGTGAGATTTTTAGACAGTACTGTTGTGAAATGAGGTTATGCATTATGTGCTGGAGCACCATAGCTCCTGTTATTCTAGTTCACTTGTGTGGATAAGGACAATTTAACTGATTCATTTAATTTCGTGTCTCAATATGCCATATGTGAGATAAACAGTGGAACAGGTAATTATCATGTGTGATACATATTTGGAAAGTGGATCTGCATGCAAAGTAAGAAGATTCCAGCATTCTCTTTCTGCATAGGGGAACTATTCTTAGATTTTAAATAAAATCAGACAGGATCATCACTGGACAGTGAAACTGGATAAGATCATCATCTCTGTTTCTGAACTGCAGTATCATGAATTAGTTTGGCTTTGAGTAATCACAGGAGGATGGTTTTATGCATCATAATAATCAAATTTGCTCTGAAACCCATGATGGATTTCTCATTTAAAGTTTCTTTAGGGAGCAGTAGATTTGTACTCAAGATAAAATTGTCCGTGTGCTTAATTAATTAAACACTACACCATGAAAGCTTGTGGGTGAACAGATGTATAAATCCTTGTATCTTGACCTCAGCATTACATGTAGCTGAGTGGTCAGTTTCACACCCCAGCTGCTCTACCTCAGGGGGGGGGGAAGAGCCTTCAGAACCGATCTGATAGGAGGCTGGGTGGGCCCCACAACCAGTCTGGACAACATGGCAGGGAGAAAAACCTTGCCTCTACTGAAACTCGAACTCTAGCCATCCAGCTTGTAGCCAGTCGCCATACTGACTGCACTTTTGTTCACTAAATTAAGGATAATCTTAAATGGAAGAAATTCAGCAGAGGTTATTGACACAGGATCATTGAAATAGGTCATTAAAAGACTCTGAAACTGAGAAACATAAAATGTTGAGTCCTGTGTCCTGGGAAGAGACGCCGTGTAATAGTAGACAGGTCCTAATATTTTGAGGAGTCTGCCACCTCCATCTTTAAGGAGTCTTCTACCCTGAAGATGCAGGAAGTAGATTCCTCTGAAATAATGGTACTTTTATACCAGACTGCATGGTATCACATTTCAGAAGAGAGCAATCTTCATGTTTGCCATTGTAAGAACCTCACATATCACAAAATTTGCTTTGTCTGTCAGGTATATCTGAAGGAGATTCTGAAAGAAGTGTGCAACTACAACTTGAAGAATCCTCACAAGAACATGTGGGAACTTAAGCCTGAGTATCGCCACTACAAGGATCAGGTGCCAGCTCCTGCATCCGCAGACAACTGACAGTGTCTCCTCAAACCTACACTGTGTGTTAAGCATGGTCTTGTAATATGATCTCTGAAACCAAAGTGTTGTTCTAACAGACTTGTTACAGATTATATTGTAATACAGGCTATAATCACTTAGTGTCAGGATTACAGTTTTTTGGAGACAAAAATGTCGCATGTTCAGATGTCTCCATAAGAATCAAATTAAGTAGCCGAGATACATTCTGCTGATCCAAGCAGCAAGCTTACAAATGAAAAATATAATAAAATTTTATGAGGGACATAATGCTAAATGATTAAGGAAAGTAAATGTAGATATCATTTTGTATATTATATATATATGTTAATCATTACTTGTACCTCATCAGTGTTGCTTCTTATTTCTTGCTTCCTCTGCATTTCCTTCCCTTTTGGCTTCCTTGATGACTATCAATCTGGTTTATTCTTGCCATACTGCTTTCTGTAACAGACTATGACACTGTTGGCAGCCCCGGAGACTTAAGATCTCTATTTGGCTCTATTTTGTGTATCATATTGAGTCAAAGCAAAATGGCAACTATGTGGAGAAATATAAGAGACTAACAGTGTGAAGTGACATTAGATTGCAACACTGAAAGTAGTTCCTCCACAAAGGAGGAGAGAACAATTTAAAGACATGTCTGTAGATCTTAAAGCAACTGAAAGTAGAACTACAAATATCGGTCAGTGACATTAATACTGTTCAAGGAATGTAGAAGTGGTCCCAAATTTGTCAGCAACATTTCCAGAGAACATACTTCCTCCATCTTCAGGGTTGGCTGTTCAAGGCCGCTGCTTGCTTTCTCAATTTAATCTTCTTCCCTGAAGATGGAGGCAGTATTTTCCTCTGAAATATCAATAAACTACATGGAGAGCACTCCTTAGTGTCCCATTACTGTAGACACTTCAAGGTACAGTGACCTGAGAAGGTGTATATTTTTTTTATTGCTAGTGGAGTGGACTGAGTCCCTTGTAGTGCGGCCACTTCTGGCCTATTGTACCAGCTCCAGATGATAGGTGAGGGTAATTGTGGAGCAACTGGTGGAATGAAGATTGGCAGGGAAAACCACAGTACTCTGAGAAAACCTGCCTCAGCACCACTTTGTCGACCATAAATCCCACTTGACCAGACCCGGGATCAAACCTGGGCTGCCGTAATGGGAAGCCAGCGACTAACCGCTTGAGCTATGGCGAGGCCTAAGTTGTATATAAATGACAATAAAGGTAATTATTTGTTGAATAGCTACAAAGACACTACACTTACTTTGTCATATATACCACATGCATACCAGTAAAATGGCCAAATGCGCTGAATATGTGAAGCAATTTAAAGATCATGACTGGCTGGTTCAAGCATTAAGAAGACAGTTAACAGGCCTGGCAGCATGCACATATGGTTTGACATTTTTTACCTGAAACTTAATTATACACACCAAAAGACAGAGTACAATGAAACTTCCACTTAACGTTTATCGATTTAACGTTTTCCTTCCAGTTTTTATTAACGTGAATTCAGTAATCGTGCTGTTAGGTTGCCCCAATTTTGTGTCTAGATACACTGCTTCCTGAAGAGGAAATGGTGTATATGTTGTACATATTTGAAAGTTGAAACAAAAAGGTTTTTAATCACATTTATTTCATTACATATAGTTTCACATATAAAGAGGCGGGTATCACAGAAATGCAGACTATGTTAAGAAGAGTGAAGCTGTAATTACAATCCTTGTGCTCGCACCAGTTCATAATACCTTCCCCTTAATTCCATCAGGAACTCGTGGGGACCTTGCTCTACAACCTGGCCTCTATGTATCACAGCTATTATGTCAGCACTTTGTATAGTTGACAGCCGATGGGCAATGATTATACATGTGCGCCCTTGACGGGCAGAATCCAGTGCATTTTGTACGACCTGTAAAGGAAATGAAATGACTGGTCAAGGAAGTCAGAACATTAGGACTGAGTGATATATCACCTGGTACCAGTGATCACAGGTTTTGTCTGTTTTAACATCTGTAATCACTGCTGAATTATGGAAATCAGACAGCTGTTCATAGTTAGATCTCTTTTGTTCGTCATGCAGTGGCTTAGTAAGTTTATGGATTCATGATGAATGGAGTGACACTTGACCAGAATTTTCTTCGAGTTTCTTTAGGGTTCCCTTGCTATTCACTACGGTACCACTGCTCCACACTCATCTCCTGATGTGGACAGTTGGCCCTGTGCAGACAGAACATTATCACATCCTTGGGTTTAAGTTTGGGGATTTGTATCTCAGCTGGCACTTGCCATGGGGATCTGTGGCGCTGACCATGTGACACCCTCTATCCACTAAAGTTGCCACTAACTTTGCCGACAAGCAGCAGTCACTCGGTCAGTATAGTTCGCTTGCAGACAAAACCACAGATTTTTTTCGTTTGTTTTTTACATGAAGTCGAATTTAAAAAGATGTCTTGTAAGTGAATGAAGTGTCAAAACCAGAATTTAAGAAATGCCTAAAAATGTGCGTCAATATTTATTATTTTTTCATTAAGCCCATCAGGTCACACTGGAGCAACAGTGGTGGCTGACACTGATTCTGCTAAGAACTTCTGATGTAAGTCTGGCATGAAGCAGCAGAAGTTTTTGCCATCTGTGCAGTACTTTGTTAACTGTGAAGTCTGAATATTTTATTTAAACTGATTTAATATGTAGTATGTAAAATGCTTAAAATTATGCCATGCAAGCACAGGGCAGGGGCGTAAAGCTCCATACAGTCTTAGTCTCAGTAGCAGCAGAGTGGTCAGCTTTATACTATGGCTGCCTTACCCCCAGGGAATGAGCCCTCAAGATCAATTGGACAGTATGGTCTGAATATGATGGCAAGAAGAAGAGTAATTGCTAGTCCTAAAAATTGATCCAATTTCAAATCTGTAGCCAGCCACTTTACTGACTAAGCCTCTGGTGATACTTGCAGTTATTCTGGATATGATGAAAGGAATCCTTTGATAAGAACCAAACACAGGACATTCAGTCCATACATAACACCTCGCTTTACTCAGTATCAGCATTTCTAGGGATACTCATAAGTAGTAAGGTAAAAATGTCCCTGTGCTTAACTAATTAAGTACTACACCATGAAGGTGTATGGGGGAGTGAATGTATAGATCCACATTTTCTTGACCTTGGCACTAGCTGGAGGTGAGTGGTCAGCTTCATGCCCCGGCTGCTTTACCCTCAGGGAGAGCCCCCCTTGTACCCATTGGATAGGAGGTTAGGTGGCCCAAGAGCCAGTCTGGACGACATGGAGAAGAGAAAAATCTTGATCTATCAGAGCTTGAACTCCTACTCCTCGGTCATCCAGTCCGTAGCCAGTCACTATACCAACTACACTATCAAGCATTAATTAATCTCACTGCAAAAGTTTCAATTCTCTAAACATATACAGATTAAAACCTGTAACTGCATGGCAGAATGGGCACCAACCTTCTCACAACTCGCATCCAGAGCAGATGTTGCCTCATCAAGCAGCAGGATACAAGGATTCCTCACCAGTGCTCGTGCAATTGCGATCCTCTGCTTCTGTCCACCCGACAGCTGGGATATTCCAGTCTGACTTCCGGCCATGGTATCATAGCCCTGCCATAAAATCACAAATACTCAAAGACTATGATATGACTTCATATTTCCCAGTATTAAAGCTATGCTGTTTCTGCTATCAGTAATGGGACTGTATAGTATCAATGATGGGATGATCAATGAATGTGAAGCAGTTAATGGAATGAGAAGGAAACCAAAGTACTTAGAGAAAATCTGCCACAGATCCCACATGACGTGACCTGTAATTGAACCTGGGTTAGCATGATGGGAAGCTAGCAGTTAACCACCTGAGCTATGGCACAGCCGTAACATCTAGCTGGCCTGTTACAAATATTACAAAAGAGAAGCCTGAGAGAGTTGAGGTTCTCATGGCAATGAGTAGTGACACATGTTAGTAATCCCTTCACCTGGCAGGTTAAGTTTCCTGTGTGCCCCTTCTGAGCCCTTCAAATGGCTTGCTGTTGCCACTGTGTACAGAAGTATCACTTTTCCCACACATATCTCTCACATGCAGCTTGTTGGAACTCAAAGGAGTCAAAATCTATGTCAATCATTAATTGTTTTTTCAGTTCTTATCCTTATCTGTTTGACTTGCAGTATGGGGACTGCGAATTGAATTAGTGAAGATTACAGTTTTCTGGGCCATGATGCCACATTGGCATCATCTTGCAAATCTTCACATATTTCCAAGCATCTCCTTTATTGTTCCTTTTTTAGTTTGATGGAGGGGGAGATGGTGGCACTGCTTACTAATGTCTTTTTTACAGTACTGCCCAACTACTGGTGAAAATGGCAGCTAATTCATTATTAATTTAAAATTGAAAAGTGTTAATTTCTATCGTCACCATCAGCAGCAGTAGCTGCAGCATTTCTCTATAAGCAAGTTGGATGAAGTGGCAGTGCTTCTGACTTGTTTTCAGCACATTCCTGATTCAAATCTCAACTGAGATACTGACTGTTCTGGCTGAAGTAGTCGGAGATATTCTTCAGTCCTTCCAGGCAAATGCTGGGATAGTATCTCAGTCAGGCAGTGAGTGCTTTCTTCCAAATCCTTTCCGATTTATTATCATCCTAACATTTGACACTATTGATCTATCGACAGTGTCATTGAAGAAACCGTTAATACTGCTTCTCATATCCAAGTGCAGTAATCTTACTTTTCCTATCATTGTCATCAAGAAACAGAACAATAACTGAATGTGGCAGTGACATTCTTGAGAAGCTGATAGTCACTTCGCTGTTAAGGAAATTCCTTGTCTTTTATGAAAGCATTATGTTTCTCAGGCATTTAACAGTACCTGTGGCAGGCTTGTGATGAAATTGTGAATGTTGGCTGTACGGGCTGCTTTCACTATATCGTCCATCTCCAAGGGTTCTGGCGAACCATATGCAATGTTATCCCGCAGTGAACAGTCAAACAGAACGGGTTCTTGGGTCACCAGTCCCATGTGTCTACGTAAATGATCTGGATCTATGCTGCTGATATCATGGCCATCCACCATCTGCAACATGTTCATAAAGCTGTTAGATCTGCAGTAAACCATCACTAATCTGGAGTAACTGGGGGGGGGGTCATCCATATTAAGTGATAATTTGGATTAGTGAAGCAAAAGGTAGCCCTAAAAGACAAAAAAAATAATTAGAACACAAATAAGTAGAAAATTTAATGATGTAAATAGTGCTGATGAAGGTACCAATAAAATAGCATGTACAGCCTTAATTTAAAAACTATAAAAAGACAATACATTTATTCATTGATAGAAGACTCAGAAGTTGTACTTGCTTTTGAATGTAATAATGCAGGTTTGAAGAAACTGAAGTTTTGCCTAAACAGACATGTGACTCATCTGCCTTCCTAAATTCCATGTTTCTTTTGAAGTATGTACTCGACTGTGAATAGCATTTTTTCACATTTTGATCTGGATTAACTGGTTTACTGTATGTAGGGTGCAGTCTGTCTGCACTCCAAGAGCACCTGTTATTACGAGTAATTACAGAATGATTGTACTCCAGACATCAGTTCTTATATCAGACTACATATGTGACATGTGGTACACTGATTCTTTTAGGGATAGCTTGTAGTTGGGCTTCAGGGTTGTGTAATATCTCTTTGGTGTTTGTGTAAATGTGTTTCTGTATGTCTGAGAATTTGTGTGTGTGTGTTGCCATGTCCTCACTGGTGCAACCATTCTTGTGTTGAGTCCCATGGACTGATGACCATATTTTACTGTCTCACAACTCTGGAGTCATGTAGCTGACTCTCTTGTCTGTGTGTTTCCAGACATTTATATATATGTGTGTGTGTGTGTCTTTGTCTGACTGTGCATCTGCACATGTGTGTGTGTGTGTGGATGCCTTTCTCCATATCTCCATGTGCAGCTTATCTATATGTATCTTTACATCTGTATATATGTGTGTGTATATCTCTCAATGGGTCTGCATCTGTCTATCCGTCTCTCTCTGTGTCTCTTTGTGTATGTGTTTATGTGTCTCTGTGAGCCTGTATCTGTGTTTATCTGTGCTAAAAGTGACTTTCTACTTCCTGACAACAATTCTTTTGTTTACAAGTCAACAAAAGCAATGGCTAGAAGCATAATTCATCCTATAGACTGGACCTGGTCCCCAATCATTAATTCCTGTCAAAAAGCTGAGGAACACCTGCATGGATGTTATTGTTCAAGTGAAGATGATTTCAAACTTGCTATTTCATAAAGGTTCACTGCCTAAGGTTAACATATTTTTCAGAAATTTTCACTCTGTTTAGAAACTGAACAAAGTGTATTGAACTGAAGACAGAATATATGGAGAAGCAATGAAAAAAGAGTTTCTTTACCCAAACTCCAACCTGTATATATAGACTGGTGTCCCTCATAGCATGACAGAAAGGAAGAAGTAAAAAACTACACAAAGCCATATTTTGGTACAGTGTAATAATGTTTGTGATCCAAGATATACTGTGTGCATGCATATATATGTGTGCGCAGGCATGTTAAGTGTATGACAAACTGCTTGACTTACAACTTGTCCAAAATCAGGCCTGTAGAAGCACTGCAACAGCGCCACTGTGGTGCTCTTTCCACACCCGGATGCACCAACCAATGCAAGGGTTTGGCCAGGTTTCACTTCAAGATTCAGTCCTCTTAATACTGGAACATTAGGTCTGTTGGGGTATCGGAAGTGAACCCCACTAAAAGTCACTCGCCCTTGGATTTTCTGAAAATTTTCATATTTAATACAGACAAATTCATGGGCACAGCAAAGCTTTCTAAGTGAGTAATATATTTCATGAAATCATAATTTAGAAACATATTGCAAAATTATGTATCAATGAAATGAATTCAATAATGACATGAAAATTGTTATACCATATTGTAAACCACATTACACAGATATGAGAAAATAATAATAAATATAATATTGTCACATGACCCAAGCTTTGGGAGGAAGCGTATATATGCACCCATATTTCTGGATACTTCTGACTTCACTACCCGCTGCTGGTTTCTACATAGTTTATGAGTTGCCAAATCTGTGTCTCTGATCAGCTAAGTGTACCGACACTTGAATGAGAGTTATGTGGATTTCACGAGCTGGGGAGTCAGTTCAAATGAGCCACGTTGTGAGCTGGAAGCAGCATACAGATTTTGTATATGGTGAAACAGTGCATGACATGAGGCGCAAAGTTGGTTTAGTGCAGGTGGCACTGAAAAGATGTTAGAAGAGAATGGTGCGCAACCATACAGTGAAATAGTAGGGAACAAGAACAAACACACGTCAAGGTTGTAAGAGCCAATATTATGACCCCGACATCGTGTATGTTTTGTAGATAGGTATCAGTAATTTGGAGGATCCTGCCAACTTCATCTTGAACATACCCTGATGATGGAGGCAGCCGGTTTCTACTAGATAATGGTACCTAACTACCAAAGCGCATGGTCATTACATCATGGAAAATCACACTCTTCAACTTCTTTGCAGTTTGAATGTCTACATAATAAGCAGAAACTTATCCATATGGTATTCCTGAATTATCCTGATCAAAGCAACGTGCAATTGTAATGAATATGAGGAACAAATAAAGGTAAATACTGAACCTTATTATCCACTCTGATTCTAGTTTAGCTCATACTTCTGGCATAATTATTCCCCAATTGTCATTAAGCTTCATTATATTCCGCTCTCATCGAATTTACTACTGCCAACATAACATTTTTAAGTCTGTGGTCTTCTGGATTGTGACACTATGTAATCTTGGAACCTGATACAAATGTTTTGAAGCAACATAGTGCTTCCATCTTCAGGGTAGATGATATGTTCCTGTGAAATGGTGTATACTCCCACAAGACTACACAGTGTCACAACTTAGAAGGCCATCACTGCTATGAAAAACTGAATACTTTTTTTAACACAGACAGACATGTCTTCTCTTTTCCTTGAGATGAGAATTTTTATGCCACAATGCATAATGAGACATATGAGGTCTAACAAATGAACTGGCTCGCTCACTCATGGAGCTGAGCTCTTCTTGAGAAGCCCTAATTGTGCAGCCACTCAAGAACTTCCCAGCATTTTATGGAACTCAAAGGTTCATTACCCTGTTCACAAGAGCCCTCCACTGTCTCTTTCCTGAACCAGATCGATCCAGTCCATAGCATCCCATCCTATCTCTCTAAAGTCCATTCTAATATTATCCACCCACTCAAGCCTTGGTCTTCTTGTGGTCTCTTTCCTTCTGGCTTCTCAACCAATATCCTATATGTATTCCTCTTCACCTCCATTCGTGCTACATGTTCTGCCCATCACATCCTCCTTGACTTGGTCATTCTAATTATGCTTGGTGAAGACCACAAGTAATGAAGGTCTTCATTTTGTAGTTTCTCAAACTTCCTGTCACTTAATCTCTCTTTGGTCCAAAATATTCTCAACACCCTGTTCTCAAAGACCCTCAGTCTATGTTCCTCCCTTAATGTCAGAGACCAAGTTTCACTCCCATACAAAGCCACAGGCAAAATTATAGTTTTGTATATTCTAATTTTTATATTTTTAGGCAGCAGACGAGAAGACAGAAGGTTCTGGACTGAACAGTAGCATGCATTACCCAAATTCATTCTCCTCTTAATTTCCTCCTGCCTCAGGTTTTGATTTGTTATAATTATAATAAACTGGCTGATTTTGCAAAATGTATTCAATGGAACCCCCACTTAATACTAACTTTGTGTAAATTTAATTTTAACGATCCCAAATCAACTATCTCAGTATTAAATGGTCTCCATTTAAGATCTTTTCGATTTCTCCAAAAAGGAACCTTAAATAGAGGTTTCACTGTATGTTGTCACTAACAGTCTACACATTGCTAATACAGAAATTTGTCTGTGCCACATTAAATGTGCTGTCAGTTTTGATATATATATATATAAAACTAATGTATACAAGACTCAATTTCAAGACACCTAAAATGAACATAAAAATAAGTAAAGGTATTGCTGTAACAGGTCTTGGAGGCTCATAGGGTTGTGAGATGTTGAGGTTTCCACATTTTCTAGACAATCGGCTCATAGATGGCGGTAAGGTTGTCAGCCTTACACACCGGCTACCCTTTACCCCCCAAAATATTCCAAAAATATTCCTGGTACTCATTACTGTTAGAAGCTGAGTCAAGCCCAGGGTCATAGTGCAGCTGGAAGGATTAGGTAAATTGAAAAAATCCACCTCATCTGGATTCAATCTTGCTACCTTCCGGCTTGTAGCATAGTGCCTCAACCAACTACACTACCATGCGCTCCCTTCTAAAATGAACAAATCTCACTATACTGAACTCACTGGCTTAGCAGTTCCTTCCACCATCTCTGGGCTGCGGTCTACCAACTGGAACAGCTTTTCTGCTGCAAGTTTGGCTCTAGTGTAATCCTGGAGGTATGCTGTCGTTTGGCCAACTGACTGTGCAGAGAATGCCAGAGCAAAGAACACCCTGTATTCAACAGAGTAACACAGCTATCAATATATATTTCATGTGCAAGTTCATAGCATTACAAATATGACGCAGACAAATTACATCAAATTTGTAACTAATGCTCAGTTAATTCTAAAGAAATATTTTACCTTCAACATTGAGATGCACTTGCCTGTAGACATCAATGGCTTCCATATCACCAGTCTCAATTAGGTATGCCCCAAAACGGAAAGCACCAGCATACATGGCATATATAACAGCTTGAGAGAAGGAGAAAACTGCAGCGAAAAACAGTGCCTGTTTCTTTGCTTCCCTGCAAAATAATAATAGTAGCTTACATGGTTTGAAGCTTTCATGGCAAATGAATGCAATGGAGTCTGCTTGGGCAAAATGTGGTGCAAATGTGGAGCTAGTATGCAACATTTCAGAGACTCTCTCCTTCTCCATCATCTATGATGACATCAACATTCTTCTTACTGTGGATTCTAACCTCCACACTGACAGAGCCAATTGCCCAAGAAGATATCATTACATTAACAGTAACAACTGGAAGGTGGATTTGGAAAAATATGACTATAACAGACTGACAGCAAAGGAAGTGAGATTCTTTGGGCCAATTGCTGGTTGTACTAAGAGACCATATACTCAATGAGACTATGTTCAACTTCTTGTAGCTAAAGGGGCAGACAGGTTGTCCATTATCATCAATGTCCACTATAACTAAGTAAAGTGTGAAGTTACATAAGTGAAGAGGTATTCATGGAAGTGCACCATAGGATACATAGCCAATTCATGCAATAAACATAGACACACAGTGTGATTTAATAAAGATTATATTTTGGGATTGTTTTTTGTTTTAGTGCCTCAACTTCCATAAATTACCGTGGAACACCTCAGTATCATACTTCATGTCACTGGTTCTTGGGTAGTTTCATATATACAGATGGATGGACAGATCAATATTAATATTAGCTCCACTTGGATGTGAACATGCATAAAAACTAAACCAGCACTGATAAGAAGTATAAACCGTTCTTACCTAAAGTTTTGCAGTAGTCGCAGTAGTCAATTGAACTTAGTAACTAAAAATTAAATTAAACTGACTGGCACTTTTCTTTTCCATATCGAATATTGGGAAACGGGCACTTGTGAAAATGTTACTTACAGTAACGGTGCCACTAGGTTCTGCAGATAGAGGTCAAGGAACTGATATTCTTTTCCCAGAGACTGTACTGTCCGAATGTTCAGAATGCTTTCTGAAGCTACCTGTACAAACAAACATGTGAAATTATAAAATACTTTACCATCTGTCATTAACTTAATTTTGTACAGATTAAGACATAGTCATATAGATATATATCAATGTTTCAGAGGAACATGCCACTTCCATCTTCAGGGTAGATTTGTGTATGGTGAAGAATTGGTTCAGCTATAGGGGAAGGTTGGAAGTAGGACCTATGGGAGAGGGTAAGGAATTGAAGTTCAGGAAAATGAAAAAGGTGGGATGGAAAATGCCCCTTCCAAGCCTCATTATGTTTTTTCATTACTGGCAAGAAATATAATAATAAGAAAAGACAGCCTTCTTTAGGGTCATAATATTGTTTTCCATTATAAGAAGGAAAGTGGAATTTTAAGGGGTGGTGGTCTTTTTCGGGACCACCTTCCTTGCAATCTTTCTACATAAACTAACAGATTTTTTACCTTACAAACTTCACTGCCAAAGATGGAGGCAAGATGTTCCTCTGAAATGTCGGTATCACAACCTGAACAATCAATGCAATGAAAATTTCAAGGTCTATATAACGCAGTTTTGTAGTATACTTTCATTTAACGATGTAGTCAATAGCCCACCATTAAATGACTGAACGATAATGAATAATGAATTGGGAAGACTGTGGACAGAAGCACTTGTGGCCTAAGTTAAGATAGTATCCCACCATTTGCCTAAAGGGACTAAGGAAAAATATGGAAAACGTCATGCAGGACAGTCAGTTTTCCAGCCAAGACTCCAACTGGGCCCCTCTTCAGCACAAGTCAGAAGAATTACCATTTCAGTCAACTTGCTCAGCACCTGCTTGTAAAAATGCAGTTGTGAGACATGTGTTATGCAAAAATTATTGTAATTTAGATAAAAGAGAATTTAATACAGAGCATGTGGATTTTAAAAGGGTTACGGACTCAAGCTATGATTAAAGGTCATGAAAATGAATGTTTTATATCATTAACCAGAAACAGTGAACATCAAAACTGATTCAGTCCCAGGTCATTTGAGAGAATGGGTATTCCCCCATAACCTTTAAACGCCGGACTTCGAAATAGTGGTAAGCTTGAGCTGGCCGGAGTTTATTTAAATGCCCGCTGCTGGTGCGCGTTTAAATGCCCGTTGCTACGCTGCGTTTAAATGTCCGTTCCTGTTAGGCGCTTAATCAATTTTAAGCGTTGTGTTTAAAAATGCTCTATCTAGCTCAATTTTTATGATAAATGGATGGAAATAACTTTGTTTATTTCAGAAAAGAACATAGTGTCGCATATTATAAAGGAAGATTTGAAATTTTTAATACAAAGTGTTGTACTCTATTTTCAATTTTTTGTGTTTTAATTTTGATGCGTACTGCAAAAATGGTTTCCCAGTTCTTCACAGAGTTGTTCTGCATTATAACTTCATTTCTGTTTGTAACACTTGACAAATTTTAGCAGTCTCTGGTGTCATAAAACAGATAAATCATAAATCAATAAAATCATTTGGTCTTCTGCTAGCGCTGCTTACACCCTTCGGATTTTCGAATACTTGACTGAAGGTCAGAAGAATGAAAGAATGGCTATTCAAGAGAAAGCTATAGGGGTCCCCTCTTCAGTGCTAAGATGTTCCGTTAGGGCTGCAAAAGCTTATTGCCCCTTCTATTTGAATGAACAGACAGCTGCATCGT